CACCACTTATCATCAGCACGTCTGACTTTCACATCAAACCACGCTGATTGAGTTTGTTTACATCCTAATCATTTATTTATGAAAAAAAAATCAGCAAAATTCCCTTTTAACTGATAGTCTATCTCTATCACATTTTCTGAAGTATAAACTAGGTCATAGAACACTGCATTGTGATGTCATAATACACGTGCGTGTGAAAGATCAAAGAGTTCAAAAGTCATAACAAATCTTAATTAGAACTCAAGATTCCATCAGTCATTGTGTGAACGTTCTCGCACCGGGCTGAGAGAAAAACACTGACCTGACATGAATCATACCTGTTACTTTTCAGGCCTCTATGCATTCTCACCCTGAAAGTAGGAACATTAGAAATGCAATGGTGAGGTGTTGGCGTTGTTGCCATAGTGACATGAATATAGATAACAGCAGAAGGAGCTTATAGGGCCTTCTAGGTCTTCAGAGAAGCCCTAATCTGTATCTGAATCTGTTATTAAACTGGCTTCTTTGTATTCATTTTCAGCGTTTTTGTACTGTTTCCATAGGCCCTACACACACACACACACATTGATAGATAGATAGATAGATAGATAGATAGATAGATAGATAGATAGATAGATAGATAGATCGACAGGTAGGTAGGAAGATAGATAGATAGATAGATAGATAGATAGATAGATAGATAGATAGATAGATAAATCGACAGGTAGGTAGGAAGATAGATAGATAGATAGATAGATAGATAGATAGATAGATAGATAGATTCAACTAGCATCCCATAGGGCTGCTAGGAGAAATTAGCATTAGCATAGCTGTGTTTTTTCTTCATATTTATGGCCTGAACTGAAGGCCTGGCTCTAATAGTCACGGTTTACCACTGAATAACAGTCAGATGTAAACTGATTTATCACTGTCACTGCAGGTATGTTGGATGTGTGTGTGTGTGTGTGTGTGTGTGTGTATGTGTGTGTGTGAGTGTGTCCATCTACCCGAGGTCATTTTGTGTCCTGACGAGATGACGTTCATCGAAGAGTTATTCGCTTACTGGTTTGTTTATTTGTTTATTCGCTTGGCTGATGTTATTACTGAACTGGAATATGAGAATGTCATAGTGTGGCCTGCTATGACCTGCTGACCAGAGGGAAAGTTCAGAAAGCAGGATTTATTAGTTACTCAGATGGCCTGACCCAAGAAAGTCTATTGCGTCTTCTGTTTTGATTTAGCTCAAAGGGAAACTCCACCAGTTGTACAAGTTTGCAAATTTTGCCTAATAAAATGGTTAAGATGTAAAGTCATCCAGAATGGTTGGATGAGATGCTCTGTTCTAGAGAGAGTCAGAACTGTTTACAGCGGCGGTGATAGAAACCAGACGTTATTCCATGAAATGGTTGTAAATGCACTGCTTGATCACTAAGATATTGACCAAGACATCGGTTAATCGTAGATTTAAGAAGGTTTTGGCTTAAAATGTATTTTTAAAAAACTCAGCCATGGCCAAGGGGTACATGTGTGGCACTGCCAAGCAAAATAGTCTGCATAGAAAAACTTTTTGGAGAGTAAATAAAATGACTACATTTGTCTTGACATTACAACCCCTGGTTCCCACCAACATCAAAGTAAGGAATTAGTGTTGGTAAGTTTCTCTTCAACAAACCATTTGCATGACTTTTGCCACAAATGTTTACATTTCAGTGATAGATTTATTATGTAAACTCAGTGGAATTTCCCTTTAAAGCGATCTGCCTAAATGAGGAGACATTTCCTTCTTTCACTGTTGCCAAAATGCTGAGCTGTCTTGCAAAAGACTAAAAACAAACAGCAATTCCATCAACCCAGACCACACAAGGAAGCCAACATTGCAGATGCAATATTAATTTATTTTAATTGAAATTGAAATATGAAAACAAATGTCCATCAAAATATCTCAGTACAAAAGCAGGAGAAAATGATCAGTCTTCTTGGAAAGCACTGGATTTAACAGGGTGTGTGATGCTAAATGTCCAAATGTATGTAGACAGCTATTTTAAGGCACACCTATAGCTGACCCAGCCTCCACTAATCTCTATAGAAAAGCACTGGCAAATAAAATGGGATGCTCTGGAGCAGCCAAACTTGGACCTAAGGTCATCCCAATGCTAAACATCAGCTAAAGGGGAATAAGGCCTCCCAGCACAGGGCTGTGGAGAAGTGGAACTATGGAGTGATGGAGCTCCATCCAATATCTTCCCAGAAGAGTAGCAGCAAAGAGTGGGACAACTCCCTATTAATACCCTTGATTTCAGAAGAAATTTTGAGCAGGTTGCTAAAGTAAATATACTATATACTAAATATACTAAAGTAAATACACGCTAATACCAGATTTAATAACACATTCCAAAAAAGTTAATACAGCGGCAAAATAAGACTGGAAAGTTTGTGAAATGACCAAAAACATCCTTTTTTAACTTTCCATGGGTGAACAGGTGAACAAGTAACAAGTGATGAAATCATGATTGGGCACAAACGGTACATTTACGAAAGGCTCAGTTGCCTCCTAGCAAAAAAACGTTAGCAAATAGTCCAAAAGTTTAATAACACTGTCTCTCAATGCACCACTGCAAGGAATTTAGGGTCCATTACATTATTAAAAGATTCAGAGAATCTGGAGAAGTTATTGTTTGTAAAGGACAAGGCCAAAACCTAGCATTGAAATGCCTGTGACCTTGTGTCAGTAAACACAGTTCTTTGCTGCATCTACAAATGCAACTTAAGATTCAACCATGCAAGGCAGAAGCCATCTATCAACAACATTCAGAAATGCCGCCGACTTCTCTGGGCTAAAGCTCATCTGAGATGGACTGATACAACCTGGAAACGTGCTAAGTTAACTGGCACATCTGTGAAGGCACTATTAATGCTAAGGAGCACATATGCATTTTTGAGCAACACATGCTGCCTTCTACACAACTTCTTTTTAGAGACGTCCCTGCTTGTTTCAGCAAGACAATGCCAAGCCACATTCTGCATGTTTTACAACAGCTTGGCTTTGTAGTATGAGAGTGCAGGTGCTAGACTGGCCTGCCTGCAGACCAGACCTGCCTCCCATTGAAAATGTGTAGCATATTATAAAGCGCAATAAATGACAATGGAGACCCCAGACTGCTAAGCAGCGAAAGTGTTACGTCAAGCAAAAAAGGGAAAAAAATCTACTTTCGCAACTACAACAAAGGTCAAAAATGATTTGCAAAGTATATTTGTCTATTTTCTTTTCATTCAGGTTTCGATTGGGTTGTGATATGTGCAGCATTAACACCATTTGAATACAAGTAAGAATGAAAAGAGAGAATTGTGTTGGAGTGATAATTGGTAGTGTGGTAGTGTGATTGTGTCATCTAGTGTAAAAAAAATAGCACCTAGAGGTGTAATATATAGAGAATTTATCTGCTTCGATCATATGACACCATATGAAAGTCTCCTGAAGACCTTTTGGGTGCTTTCCGATGCAGCAAGTGTGCTCATCTGTGGAATTGTGTCACTGTGTTTCCATGTGGGTGTATATTGGCAAACGGGCCTGAATTGCTCTGGGTCTAACGACAGTACGTGGGTTTATTGGGTGTGTATGTTTCTGTTGACCTTAACCACAGAGTTCAGTCAGAGGTTTATTTTATACATATCTGGCCTCTCCTCACATTCTGAGCCATTGCACAGAGCTCATGGTGGCCTATTATTCCTCATAGAGATTTAGAGCTTAGGAGTGTGGACATGTAGCCTAGCAGCAATAATGATCAATCTAACCAAACAAAGCAGCGCATATCTGTGACCAGGATCTGTGTTGGGATGTACAGGAATACACAGAATACGTGTTCATAATACTGAAAATGAAGGGCTCGTGTCACAGAAAACTAAAATTTCCTTGATTTTTTATAAAAAAAAAAGATATAAAATATAAACATTTCAAATATTTCAAGATGCAAAGTTCCCTCCCAGGTCTATGTGCTATATTTATATTGCAATTAAGCTACAAAAAACAGCCCATTTTAAATGTGTTGTTGTTTTGTAATGCCAGAAAAGCCAACATGTTTACATATATCTGCTTATTCACAGCAGTTTAGGCCCACCCATTTATACTGAAGTTATAAGGAGCGTTTCAGCCCAGAATGCTTTTTGAATGAGCCACAATATAGGGAGCCAATCAACACAATCATGTATACATTTCGGTCTTAAAGTATCCTGGAAAAACCTCTTGAAAAAGAGAGAAACATTTAAGGCCTGAGCAACCAAATTTGTTGATGAGATCTTTAAAATTGTATAACTATAATTGAATGAGGTGTAATATAATTAAAATATGTATGTTTTAGTGACACAACACTGTATGAAGTATTCTCATGACATTTTTCAGAGTTGCTTGGAGCCTCTAAGGTGACATGGAGAGTATTTATAATATAGCGTGGCCCCAAATGAATATATTGAGGCCACAAATTAATGTATTGAGGCCAGAAATTAATATATTGAGCCCACAGTCTATTACATTGAGGCCACATTGAGTACTCAACTTACTATATTAGGCCACAATTTACTTTATTGAGTCCATAATTTACTTTACCGAGGCCATAATTTACTTTACTGAGGCCATGAATTACTATAGTAAGGCCACTATTTACTTTATTGAAGCTATGAATTACTATATTGAGGCCACTGATTACTATGTTGAGGCCACAGTTTACCATACTGAGGCCACAAATTAATATACTGAGGCCACAAGTTATGAGATTCTGATTCTGATATATAACTTGAGGCTTCGATATATTCATTTGTGGCCTCAGTATAGTAAATCGTGGCCTCAGCATAGTAATTCGAGGCCTCGAGCTTGACACGTCACCTTAGGGGCTCCGTGGACCGAGCTGAACTTTTTCGCTGTCATCCAATGGAGCCTGTGCCCCGCTCTAGTGAACTACACTACCCACAATGCATTTCAGAGTAATAAACGACGCGGGCAGGTTTTTTCTCCATCCACTACAGGGCACCGCACACCACAATCTGTTTATGTTCAGACTTGAGAAAGCAGACCGGAGCGTCGCTTCAGCTGTGTTAATCTTTTGTGGCGATCAGTTAGAAATTCGGGGTCGTGAAAACCGACTGTTTCACAGAGGGGCAACATTTTATCCGCGTGTATTTTATCCTGACATTTGGAAGAACTCTTCATACCTTTGCCTTTGTTAGCAACTTAGCGGGGTTAGCTAGCTTTAGTCTTCTGTTTGAACCGTTTTATTGTTTTCTTCAGCCGAGCTAACAGAGCTATCGGCTAAGAAAATTAAGAATAAAAAAAAACAGCTAGCTAACGACTCCAACGGACACCGGCTGCAGAACCATCTCGAACACAGTGGATAAGCATAAAAATACGATATCAACGTCTTTGTAAGTATCCTGACTCTCCTGTGCTGTCAGTTTTATTGTGTGTCATATTTTAGTTCACTTGCCATTAAAATGTGTCTCTATTATTGTGTGAAAACTCTCTTATTGACTTATTTTGCCAACGTTAGTCCACCAAAATCGACTGCTGTCTCACGTTTTAGACCAGTTTACCTCAGAATTAGTTTCTCAGTAACGTTACTAACCTAGGTTAACGTTAGCCAGCTAGCTACTAATAAGTAGGTAGCTCACTGTGAGCCACACATTTGACAAAGAAAACCCACTTTATAATCTTTATCAGACGAGGATGAAGTTAGCTTACTATTCAAGCTTCTTGTTCGAATTTTCCCGTTCCACCTTAAATGGTGCAGCAGTTGCATTCTGGCGCCTGAGGCGTTATAATAACTGCTGCCTCATTTAAGGTGGAACTGGACAATTGGAACAAGAAGCTCACTTCAGCTTCGTCTGTACGTAAATTCGCTGTATTATTAGGGTGCATTAGATTTGAATAGGTGTTGTTGAGGTGGGAATGTCTTTCTCCTCCCAAAACCTAAAACTAGGAGTCTCACTAAAATAAGCCCTTCAGTGAGCTTCATAGTTAGGTAGGTTAACTGTGTTACCCTAATATCAAACCGGTTCATTTTATGCTTGACCAAAGAAAAGTGCATATCTGGTGCATATTTGGGAGAGTCTGGGTTCATTACTGTGCCGCTGTGAAGACTGAACAAGATTTTGTGTGATTTATTTGAGGTTTTGCTTACTTACATTTCACCCTAACCACCTGCACGAATAAGAAATCACACCCCCCAAGTTTCTAGAGTTGTGGCTTTGATGGTGAAAGTCAATTTCCTTTGCAGCAGTGCAAAGCTTCGAGGTTATTGGTTGGGTAGAAACCTGTTGTACCTGTCTTAAACAACAGTGCTTATGCTTAAATGAATAAACACCACTTTAGATTACTGCCTGAGGTACTTATGCATTTTACAGTGGGGTTTGGATGAACTGTTTGCATTGCTTTCTGTGCTGTTGTGTTTGGCTATTGTTCTGCTGAATTTAAACCCCCAGGGTGATTTGCATAGTCAGATAGCGGCGTCCAGGCCCAGCATCTGTCCCGCCGAATGGGGCTTTTGTCCTGCGTTGACGTGATGATTTGAATCACTTTTGTTGACATCCTTAACCCCTTCCCCCTTCCCCTCAGGCCTTATGGACGGTCAGGAGTCCGCTTTGTGTGGACCTCTGCTTGAATTATTTATGTTCAACAACAGTGGCCAGTCATTGATGTATTTACTTTTGATTTCTGACGTTGGTGAGCTTGTTCTCTCTCTCTCTCTTTTACTTGCTCTTGACATGAAAGTCTCCTCTGTTTATTAAAGAAGAGTTGTGTTTGGACGTGATCCCACCACAGCATTGTAACCCATTAATGTCCATATCTGGTCCATATGTTCTCTGAGTTCGCCTGGGCACAAATCTGAGGATTTCAAATTGATCAAACTGTATGGAACTAATCTTTAAGGCTAATCTTTTGGTCACATGCAACTGCTAATATTTATCTCAGTAGAAAATTCAAATGTAATTGTGAATAAAATATGAAATATGACGTTATTGCGTTCAGATATGTACTGTTAGATGTTTATCCAGAGTATAACTGTACAAAATACCCGACAGAGCAATCAGAACGATATAGTTGTTGGGCATGAATGGGTTAACATGCTGAAGGAGCTGCACTGAAACACCTTTTTGTGCAGTCTCGACATTGATGGAGCTCCTTTCCTGATTAGGTCTAGCTGTGGCTGCGGAGTGCATTGGCTGGAGGAAAAGGGTGTGGAACGTGCCTTTCTAACACAATCAAATAAACACAAGTCCTTGAATGCTGGCGACGAGCCAGAGGTGTCACTTTCCACGCTGAAAAATAGATAAGAGACCCGACTTACTGCGGGGAACTTGCTGTTTAGAAACTCAGCACTGGCTGCTCTGAAACTGTGTCGTCATCATGATTCACTTGAAACCTAAGCTGCATTTGCACAAATCGTTTCAAAAAATGTGATCGAATGGGAGAAGAGGATGGCATCAATATTTAAATGGAAGTTAAGACGGTAGCCCTCATTTCATTCCAGCTTTGGCGTCAGCGTCTGTCATAAAAAGCAGAGTATCCTGTCAAGCTTGGTCTGCAAGCTGTCTTATGTAAGTGAGATATAACTCTGTGTGCCAGAACGTCCAGTCCAAGAGGTTGCACGTCCACTTGGGGTTGCCTGATTTCATAACGATAAAATGCTATTAAAATATTTCTTTTTTACACAGCATGAGGAGTAATGAGAAACCTAGATCTTAGCTGTTCAGAGCAGCAGGGGTCAGGGGATTTTCTCCATCTCAATTTAAGGTTATTAGCAGAAAAACTGGCTACTGCTTTGCTCTAAGCACTGTGATGGTACTGTTTGTGTTGTGTTAAAGACTCTCTAGGTGATAGAATGGGCTCTGGCTCATACAGCCAATCAGCTCAGTGTCAGTGTTGGCATTGAAAGGCGATACCACCTCTAAATCCTGCTGGACCCACAGATCAGATGGCCGCGAGGACGTGCGATGGCTTAATAAACGAGATTGGATGGGTAAACTTTATTCCACAACAGCTAAACTTTGCCTGCTTGCTTGCACTCAAGAGCTTGGGATAGCAAACCGAGACTTCATTGTCAGCAGAGGTTGCGTTGATGTCCCTATTAAGAGCTGAAAGATTGGGTAGAAAGTCGCATTGTGATACTTTATGATTAAATATTGTCATATGTGAGTTAAAAATGGACCCAGATTAATTATTCCTAAATGGTCATGCTATTTAGGAATTATGGAAAAAAACAACAAAAAAAAAGCTGACAATGAATAAAGGCAGTTTACAAAAATAGACCTGCTAAAGTGATTTCACTATGTGGGCTACAGCATGTTCTGTAAAATCCAACGTCCTCAACAGCTGAAACTGAGGATACAGATGGTGTCATAGTGCGAAAGGGTCTGTTAGTTTCTGTTATTCTGTAGTCTGCATATCACATGAGATGTCGTGTCTTCAATTGGTATCAAACCTGCAATGGAGAAGATCTTGGATGTTGTGTCCCCGACCAGTTCAGGACAGCGAGGGAATAAATAGTATTTTTAATCACTATTTCTCATTTTCATTAACATCAGAATTCTTTTTAAAGTCTTAGATTGTGACACTGCTTCATCACTGGCCTATTGAATTTTGTGGAGTGTTTTTTTGGCCAGCATTTGGCTGCTTTTCTCTTCCAGCTGAAGACGTCAAGTTTTCAGCCCAGGGTTTTTTAATGGCCCAATTTTGATGCATCCTTAATGGAAATGATGCTTTTAAATTGCTACATATGTGATGTGATATTAAAGTCAGGTTTGCTTTATTTTGACTGAAATTTGTTTGTTGGATTAAGTAAATGCTTTGATAAACCCCTAAAAACTGTCTGTAATTGGTCACAGCACACAATAAAACATCCAGTAAAACATCCAGTGGTTTGCACAATTCTGAGAAATTGGTATTGGAAGAAGTTTATGTCGTGATACCAGTATTATGAAGGCCAGCATCGTGATGATGAACAAATGTTGTGGATAAAAATAGTGTCAGTGATGTTAGGTGATAGAAAAGTTCATAATCTGTGATTTACTTTTTAACTTCGCACAGCTTTGCTCTTTTGAGAATATTAGTTGAATGAAAACCTCTTAAACCTGATTATGGTTTAAAATGCTTTACCGGGTCAAAGTGTTCATGTCTTGTACAGTGGAATTTGGATTTCTGGGCTTCTGTTTTAGGCTTTTGTTATTGACAGTTCCAGTTTGTGGTGTCTCACTCAAGCTTGTAATAAGCACCTTGTAATATAAGCTACTGCTGGCTTTAAAGAGCTTCCTCCTAAGTATGAGTTGGCGCGGTGTGCTGAGGAAGGATCAGCCATGACACAGTTCTAACATTATTTCCTCTGCTTTTAGAACTCTGATCCTAATCATCAATATCACTCTTACCATCCTCAGACATCACTTATGTTCTCACGACTCATGAAACCAAAACGGAAACCTGTGCAGTTGTGTCACCCACCTTTTCCTCAATAGAAAAACCCACTTGTCACGCTTGCAGGTTGGATGGCGTGTGAAAAAGTATGATGCTTTTAAAGAGGAGAGGTGCCAAGGTGCTCCAGGACAAGCCTGTACTGCGTTTGGCCTCCCAAGAGATAAGCTGTTTCCAAAGAATTTGATGTTCAGTCATGAAAAACAGCTGGCAGTAGCTGTTGCTGTCTTTTAGAACATGTGTTGTACTGATGTTCGTGTTTGGGTTCTACTTCTGTTTAAGCATCTTCTGAGACTGTTAGGCCTAATCCCATTTCTTATTTTTACCCCTACCCGTTGTTTTCGAGTGTCACCTTGCCCCTTGGAACTGAGTTACAAGAGGTAGTGACTGAAATCTTCTCCTATGAAATGGGACCCTCAAATAAAATAGAACATTACTTTGCTAACAGGCTACTAACGCTGCTCTGTAGGCAACCCTTCCAGTCTGCAGTGACAGCAGAGGAGGGTAAAGTTCAGCAACCTCACTGCTGGGCTTTTTCATTTAGGGAATCATATGCGGAATTCATTAGGGAATCATGGGGTAATTATTTATTATCGGCCACCCCTAATTCTTCAGCGATATGAAGCTAAAGTTAGATATTTGTTAGCTTCTTGTTCAAATTTTCCTGTTCCACCTTAAACGGGAAATTTAGCGAGCTAGCTAACGAGACATCAGCAGTACTAGCGATTTTGAAATTTTTTTTTATGCTTGTTATTAAAAAAAAAAGGCCATAATACATTGAAACGACATTGAACTAAGACAATACAATGATTATTGTAATTTTTTAATGGAGAAAATTCTCACATTTGTGGGTTTCTGTGGTCACTTGTGCAGCCATCTTGCCAGTTTTTCTTTTTTCCCCTCATAATCTGTTTGGAGTGTGTCTCTGAAAAACCTCTGTTTGGAGGGCCATGTAGTGCTT